TCAAGGCGAACAAGAGCGGAACCACACAACCAAGTGAATTGCGGACCTTGAAATCCCATACCACGAAGATCCAAATCAAAAAGAAATTCCTGGAAATCTTTGTAAGGACCCGAGGACCGAGCACAATCTTTCATGTAAAAAACAAAGAGAGTAGCGTTGAAATCGCCCAATAAAATCCAAGGGGAAGAAATGATGGAAGCGAGATACCGCAAATGACGCCAAAGGAGCTTTCGCTTCGAAGCATTGGAGCTAGCATAGACAAAGGTGGCAAGGAAAGATTTGTTATTTGAGATGTGAGTGATACGAAAATTGAGATATTGAAAATGATTAACTAGTACTTCATTGTGAACGAAACCAAACCAACAAAGCCAAATACCACTGAGAAACCGGTAACTTCGATGCGGTGGGAGTTGGAAAAACCAAACAGAGCAATAACATTATCGGATTTAGAGCCGCTTACATGGGTTCAAGAAAACCAACCACATCAGGAGAGTAGTCTCGCAAATACTGTTGAATAGCCATGAATGATCTCGGATTACCACATCCCTGGACATTCCAACAGAAGACTTTAACCATTAAAAATTATAAGAGAAAATGGCGTACCAATGCTTAATCATGTATTGGAACTTCGGTCTCCATTCCAGGAACACTAACTGTATCATTCAAAGCAACGGTCAAAGGTCCACACAAATCTGTATGGTCTAGCTGCATCAAAGTCATCGCGGCCGACTGTTGAAGCAGCTCTTGGTCCATATCATAATCGGCGATCACTGTGGCAATTTTGGGGTTAGAGTTATTTCCGAATAGATCGTCGAGGATGATACTAAACAACCATCAAAGGGCCATACAGATTAGGTTTTCAGTTTTCAACAAATGGTACTAAAGGCGGGACAGGTGTTGTTTCATTGCCAAGAGTGGATGGGTGTCAAGTTTGTCACTGCTAACAGCATTCGTGCAATTATCTTGTGCATGACTATAGATGCCACAGGAAAAGCATATGGTCGGCAAAGATTCGTATTCAACTAGCTGAACACGGCCATTAACAAGAATTGTGGAAATCAAAGGTTTTTTTAAGTCCACACGGAAAGCCATGCGTGCAAATCTTCCACGGCGACCACTCTCTATTTGGTAATCTATCTTAACAACTCATCTGATGCATTCACCAATTTCGGTGATCAGGCTTCTTTTATAGAAGGTAATCGGTAAACCTGAGAGACATATCCATGCAACGACCTTAGTTGGGCGGGCTGGAGAGACCAAGAAATTCGAAGACCAGGGTTCAACATTTAAGTAATGGCCAAAGATCGTCCAATGACCATCAAAAAGGTCTTGGAGATAGTCTATGTGCGAGGAGAACGTCACAAAGGAAATAATTATTCTCAATGTCCATGAGACAGAACGCTTGTGAGGGCTTCTAAAGTTCAAGGATCTTGCTTCGAAGAGTCGAATGGCCGATGCGACAAGAAGCTTCACGACGAAAGTTTGCGCGAAGCACTTTTCGACTAAAGCTTGAACGTGATCTGAAAAAACAATGGAGATTAAGCCATCAACTGATTCACAGGTAACATCGCCATCTAGAATCTCTATTTCATCACCATCAAGAAGAAATTCATCCTGGGGTTGTTCCATTCTGGATGCTCCCATGAGAGTATCACTATACGATATGGGAGGCGCGACCGGATTCACGGGGTTGGGATCGGCCGAGTGCATCACAACATCAATCAATCCAATCTTGTTTGAGGACTTGTCTGGGGGTTCATCATTATGCTGACGAGCTTTTTTACTTTGTCGATCTTCTATGGTGCCGTCAGATGGCGGGGAGGGAGGGTCTTGTTTCCCTAGGGTTTCCATTATTTTTTGCTCTAGAGATTGTTGACAACAATAATAACGTTGAAAGTTATGGATTAAAATTTATATCTTGTATGTTTCATTTAGGGAGCGCAATTGATAGCATTTTATTTTAATCTTTGTTGATAAGCGACGATATTAATTTTGGTATTGACTATCGACTATCGTTATTTTTTTTATCACATTTTTTTATATTTTAATAACTCTATTTTTATGGCATATTTTCCTCTGTTTTTTTCAAATAATTTACATGCGTATTCAATAAGTTATAATTTAAAATGTATCATGAATTGTAACGGTAATTAACAAAGCATCAAATATTTTTAATGGGTCGGGTCGAATTTAATGATATGTTAGCACAATAAACTGTAACATCAGTATCGTAACGATCAATGACGAAAAACGTTGATTAAAACACCATATTGAGTGCAAAAATAATTTGAGTCACATTAATTCCTTTTAAAAACTATTAAGGGACTCAAATACTTTTTCACCTTAAAAATATGTATATTCCTTCATCTAACGATCCTTAAATGGTAAAGTTTTACAATAGGTGTGAGTGGATCATAACCCATATAAATATAATTCACAGGAAAATCAAATGAAATCTTTTTTTTTATTAAACTAAGGTGATTACAAAGTAGTATATGTTCTAAATACTTTCAACCATTTGACAATGAACGCTCAATCACCCTGCTGTATTGACCTCTAGGAATAATAACGATTCATTTAACCATTGATGTAAGTTGGTTCGTGCAAAATCAAATGAATGAAATATTTGATAAGGTAGATTATTTCGTTAGTCATTTAGGGTAAAATATATAAATAACCCCTAAAATTTTAGGGCACTTGCATTTTGGTCACCAACTTTTAAAACTTGCAATACAATCATCGAACTTTGAGTTTGTTTAAGTAAGTTCCCTGCCATTACCTTCCATTAGTTAGGGCTGACATGGCACGCTACCTCCGTCAAATCACCTTCTTCTTCTTCAACAACAACAAAAAATTAATCAAATACAAAAACCCAAGCAATGTATATGTTGGGTTTTGCAAAAACTCGAATCGACAACCGAAAGGGTTTGCCAAGAGGGGTAGAGACGGTTCTTGTGTTTAGGGAGTAAGGAGATTGAAAGATAGACAATTTGCACAGCGATTATAGTGGTTCGACTTCACAACTAAGTCTACATCCACTACCTTAGCTCCTCACCAAGGATTTTCTAACAAATTCACTAATTTGTTCTTTCTTTTTCAAGGAAAAAGAGATAACCTTTACAACTCCCTAGTTTTAACTAGAACCTTTTCCCTAGCTTTTGGCAGGCTCAGCTAGAACCAAAAGCCCTTTACAATGAAAGGAAATGTAAACAAGAAAACATCTCTAAGGTAGGTGTTTACAAGAATTAAGCTCACAAGAACAAATATTTACAAGAGAAAGATAAACTAAGAATGAAAAACTTCTTCTCTTGTGTTTGATTGCTTGGATAGATGTTCTCTTCTTTCTTAAGGTGTCCTCAACTTGTTGTTATAGCTTGAAATGAGTTTGAAGTCGTATCTAGCCGTTGGGGATTTATTTTCTGCAAAATAAGGCTGTATAGAACATAAATTATCGGTACTCCACCATGGGGTATCGGTACTACCTTTGTTAAATTCAAATTTAACTAGCCTTTAGAGCCTTGTAGTATCGATATTGTCTGATGAGTATCGGTACTACTTTGCACTATGGTATCGATACCCTTGCATGGTATCGATACAGATTTTGCATTATGGAATTTGAGCCTTCATGGTAGTATCGATACCACCTTGATGGTATATGTACTTCCTTTGCCTATGATATCAATACCCTAATAACAGTATCGGAACCGTTCATGTGGTATCGATACTTCAAAGAACAATATCGGTATTACTTGTACAAAAATCAGTTTTTGCTCAATTCCAATTTAAAATGGACTTTGAATTATTTTTGAAATCTTTGAAAAATTATGAATAAATTAAATTCAAGTCCAAAAATATTTTATCTTAATTGTTATATCAAAAACTTAGTTCTACAGTATACATAAAATAGTAAGTAAAAAAAAAACTATAGTTCACAAATCCATCGTCTTCATATCGTCCGGATCCGATTATTTCAGATTTTGATACTCTCTACACTTCAATGGAAACCTGTAACCCCAATTTCATTTATTGATCACATCGCAAGGAGGCTTGGTTTAATGGGTCATTGTTGCTGGGAATTTCTTCGGAGATGTGAACAAATTTTGCTTTTTGTCAATTGAGGCTAGCACCAAAAACAAAACCCCTTTTTTTTCTTTTCTTTTAGGAAGTCATGAATTTAATCTTAATTTTTTTTAATTCATTGGTAGATTCCAGGTTTTTATGCTTCCTCCCTTTTGTAATGGCCACTGCTATAATGCTGTAATTAATGTAAAATTTAATATCAAAACATTCTAAAATTTAGAACCAAAATTAATACAAAACTCAAAATTTAAAGACTACGTTTAGAGCTATAATTAATGTAAAATTTAAAATTTGATCACTAATATATAATTTATTTATTTTTCTAATAAGAGACAATAAGTAAAAATTATTTAAAGATGAAATACAAATTCAAAATCGACCAATGATTTGATAAAAAATTATTTTACCAGAGTGATTGAATCGGTCATAATTCTATGTGGAGCAATAATAGAATACAATTAATCCCGCGACGTCGTTTTCTTAAATTGAGTTAGTAATAATAATGCAACTACATGAGTAATAATAGTTTTACCTTGTACATCAGATGCACAAGAAATCTGAAGGAATCTTGATTTATATCATTTGGCAATAATATATGATCCTGCAATGATCTGGACGCTTAATGCCCATCACCCATTAATGTCGATATTAAATTACCTTTTTTTTTAAAAATATTAATTTAAAATGAAAGTACAACTCTCACGGTCTTAGGTACAACAAAATTTAAATCATAACATTCATTGCTTAGTGAGATCAAGAGGGATATACAATTTTACGTTGATACGACCTATTTTTAATTTTCTTTAATTTTTTAGTGAGTGAAGATATATTCTGAACAACCGACGACGTGAGCGGTGAGTCCTAGGAAGATGTCGGGCATCCATTGGTAACCTTGGCAAAATTATGACCATATTACCAGAAAAAAAAAGCTGATGACTTTCAATTTGAAAGAACAATATAGATTGGTTCATATAATTTTAGCCAATTATCTGGTTCATCTATTGTGCAGCCATTCACATGGCTATCCCCTAAGACTTGACCACAATGCTCTCGATCAACACCCTTTATAAAACCCAATACCAAATATGAGAGTTATAAGGAGAATGCCATTGCAAAAAGAGCTGCAATCATGCTAAGGAAGTTCGATCTGTTTGCCATCTGCAACACGAGGGTAGTGATGTGTTGCTCCAACATCAATGCTGGGATTCTTTGCTCCTATGTCCATGGCATTCATGAACGGATACTTGGCTTGCCAGCACGCAAAGATCTTTGGTACACCGTATTGCTCTGCTAACTGCGGCAATTGCATCGTGATTCTTGTCGATGTCGTTCACGTTTGGAAGCCGCAACCGCAAAGTTATTTGGTACACCGTACTGCCCTGCGATGATTCAGAGGAACAGCTCTCAGTCATCTTTAACAACATGAACCTCGACGAGTGGAAATAGACATGGTACTACAGGATATATACTCGACACAAGCATGCTTACCTTTGTCTATGGATTTTTTCGTATAGTCTAAGGATCTTCCCGTATATACTCGTATTCGAATGTTTATCGGGCTAATTCAGTTTCTGTCAATAAGGGTAGGGGTAACTCTCTGTCACGCAAAACACAGAATCTCTAAGATGGTAATGTCCAAGCACTAGATAAATGGCAATGCTGAATTTGAAGGGGGACCAAACTCTCATTTCCACGCCCTGACATGGCTTTTAGTAAAGCAATGGGAAATCATTCCAAGAACACAGTTAATTTCACTAGTGTTACCAAAAACTAAATTATGCATTACACTGGAAAATATTTACTATACAGATAAATTTTGAAGTGAGTGAAAATAACAGCTCGTGAGTACTTTTATACAGAGAACCAACAAAAACAGGGGTAATAACTGTTACATAGCCCTCTAATAAAAGGCTTGCCTTTGCTTTTGGTTATGCCTAATTTAATTCGAATTATCAAAAAACTAAAATGAAAAATCTACATTTTCTTCGAATAAGCACATAGAAAAACCAGATCTCCAGCTAAAATAAGGCCTCAAATCACTCACCGGAGTTCTTCCTGAAGAGTGCGAAGTAACCCAAAACAGCACAAACAGCAGCCACAAGGTTCCCTTCCTTCAACAAAATCTTGAACACGAAGCCAGCGATTTCTCTAGTGATTTTCCTCCCTTCCAGCACCAAAGTCCGCTTTGGTTTCCCAAAGAAAGCGAGCAAGACTACGATAGTTATCCAGGTGACCAGAGTGGCCGGCACCACCACAGTCAGCGCCGCAACCATGGAAAGCACCCCGAAAACGGCACCGAGGAGAACGGAGGCATAGAGGGCAGGCCAAACCGAAGAAGGAGAAGCGTATCGGGATTGGTGTTTGTACCAAGAAAGTATCGATTTCAGGGAATTCCACGAAGAAGCTAAAAGTATGGCGTAAACCAGCACAAACAGAAATACCCATGTTCTCCTTTTGCTCATAATCGTTAAGAACAACGTGTATGACGACGATGACGCAGGCGGGGGAAGAAGAGGTGGTGTCGAAGTGGGAGAAGTGGACGGCGGCGCTTCTTGTCCCTGCTCCTGCTCCTGCTCCTGCTCCATGTCTATTTGGGATTGTTTTCTTGGAGAGTTTTTGGTAGTCTCCTATGTCCTAGACTCTGAGATGAGCTGATGAAAAAGTGGATACTCTCAGATTTGAGGGAGCAGGTTAACGGGAAATACCAAGCGCAATTACATCAATTGGATTTAATTTTAGCATTATTGCATCATATCATTGGGCCGTGTAATATACGTGCTTAGTAGATGGCGTCACAGTTTTGGAATGCTTTCAGCAAACCTATGTAACCTGTAAGAGACTAACGATGAATTGGTTTACGGAATATATGATTATTAATGAGAATGTAAGATTATTAGAGAATATGATTATTAAAAATGTTGTATTTTATGTTTAATTGACTTAGAATGAATGTAAGTCGTGTTTGGTTAAAGGAATAAAAGATTATTGAAATGTATATTTGACCAAATTATCTTTATTATATATTTGTGTTTTTTTAACAAATTGGAAAATATTTATATATTTTCTTTAAATAAATTTAAATTCATAAAATTTATATAATTTTTTACAAAAGTGAAAATATAAAAAGGTTTAATGAAAGGGTAAAATTTTATTTTAACTACTGAAATTTATATAAAATTTTAATTATAGATTTTTTTTGTAAATCTAAAATAGTTTAAGGATAAATTTGTAATTTAACCTTCGTAGAATTTTTATTATTCAATGACAGAAGAAATATATTTTTGAAAGAAAAAAAATTAAGGGCATTTTAGTCTAAAACGTCGGTAATCCAACAATACCTAAAGAAATGGAGGTAATGATATTCCCGATAATATACCCCAAAAAATTCACTATTGGTAATCTTACATTACCGGGAATGGGATTCCCGGACTAACCAAACGGGAGAATGTGAATTTCATTTCCATGGGAATCCCACATTCCCCCATCAAAACACCCCCTAAGGGTAACAATTACAAATATACAGAAAATACATACATTTATAAATAAGGGCGTTTTTACTAGAAAAAAATCACATTAATATTAAAATATTATCTATCTAACACTTGTAGATGAAAAATATCCAAACTATGACTGAAACAATGTCTAACTGGGAAAACGCATGTAAGGCACATCTGACGTGGCGCTCATTCCATGTCACCGTGAAAGGTGTGTCCTACGTGGAGCGCCTCCCCCCTTCACCCTACAAAGACGTGCCCGACGTGACGTGCCTCCCCATCATGTCCAGATTTTCTCGGTCGTTCTTGCCCAACCATTCCTACCAATCGTTTCCCGGCCTCTCATCCACTATACAAACCACCTTTTGCCTCATACAAACCAACCCAAAATTATATATTATTCTCGTCTATAAGTTTTGCCATCTATTAAGTTTTAGGCAATAATGAATAATGTTATTTTTTATTTAATAAATTTATTATTATTTTATTACATAATATATTATTTTATTATTTAATAGTAAACTTATTTAATTTATATTTATTATATGCGGTTAAAAGAAATGAAATACGGGATGTTGCTATTGGATGTCGATTATATTTCAAGTCATTTTGCCGTTATAATCATAATACAAAACTACATTCTTTTTTAAATTTTCGAATATTCAGATATCGATTATATGTTATTTAAATTGTTATAATTTATTTAAATCATTTATGAAATATTAGTTCAAATTTTAACGATTAGAATTTATTTATTAGGAAACTAATCTAATATTAGAAGTTTTTATTCGTAACAACAAGATGAATACACCTAGGCATATATGGCCGTATTTTTATGTGGATGGATTCGATTACTTAGCAAAAATTAAAGGAGGTTGTAAACTTGGACCCACCCTTATTTCTGCACTAATTGAGAGGTGGAGGCCAAAGACAAACATGTTCCATCTGCCATGTGGGGAGTGGAGTATTACCCTGGAGGATGTTTCAATGCAGTTGGGGCTCCCTGTAGATGGAACTGCCATTTGTGGTGTGGCGGATGATGATTGGGAGAATTTGTGCAAAGAGTATCTTGGTGATACCCCGATGACTTTCAACGGTGGCTGAATAACGTTAGCATGGTTGCAGAAAAATTTTAAAGAATTGCGCGAAAATTGTTCTGAGGATGAAAAAAAAACATTTGCCCGAGCATACATATTACAAATTATTGGAGAGATATTGATGTTTGACAAGTCTCAGAACCAGGTCCATTATATGTGGTTGCGGCATCTTATCGATTTTCAAGTAGTCGACATGTTGAGTTGGGGCTCTGCAATGTTGATATTTTTGTTTAGAGAAATGTGTCGGGCCACAAAATATAGTAAAACTGCTATTGGCAGCTATCTCATACTTATCCAATCATGGGCATGGTATCACATGCTTTTTTTTGTGTGTCCTATCATGAATGAGCCATTTGTCTTTCCATTACTATCAAGGTAATTTCAATGCTAAATTTATTTTTAAATAATATTTTTTATTATTATAGAATGCCATATATATATTTTTATATTAAATAGGTGGTCATCAAATAGAAAAGATCATCATAATATCCCACAAGAATTAGAAGATATTCGATTACCCATTGACCAGAAAACTGGTGTAGAGGTATGTTTTTTAATTTTATTTTTTTTCATTTAATTGTCTTTATATAATTTGAATCTCATTTAAATTTTGAAAAGAAATATATATTTTTGTTTTAGTTCAAATGGTTACCATATTTGAATGACGAAATGAGGTCTTGCATCTCACTTGTCTTGAGTGGGCAATTGAATGTATGGTTGGCGGTTGTACCTCTTATTTGTTATGTTATTGTTGAGTGGCATCCGACTGACCGGGTGCTTCATCAGTTTGGTTTCTGACGCCAGACAGAATAACGATTATCCTGTAGGCTAGTTCCAACAGATGATTCACAAGAGAAAATTCGCCCAAAAACCAGAGAAAAAAAAGTCTCTAGAGTTTAATAAAATATTATAAAATCAAAAACTATCCAAAATCAGTCCACAAGCTGGATTGTTATAGCCAAAAATCTTGTTTATCGGAATTTTACCAAAAATAGAAAAATCCCAAAAATCACTCTAAATTGAAATTCAAAATAAAATAAGCAATCTGCGAAAAATTCGGCCGAAATCGGATTTAAAATGACTTCCTAATTGATAATCGAAATATTACCATAAATAGTAAAAAATATCTAAATCTAGTGATTCGGAGGGGAAACGACATAATTTGAGGTCGAAAAAAGTCCACATAGAGCATAGCTCGATGTGGACAGCGTGCGCGTCGAAAAGAGCTTTTCGTATTGGGGTCTTATGCTCGATTCTGACACCCGTAGCCAAAGTTATGGCCAAAAGACTGAAGCACACTTAAAACGGCCCCAATGAGGAACATATCACAATCAATTCCCGCCTTTGCGCTGATCTGCCAACTCATGGTATCTCAGCGCCATCAAGGTGCAATCTGACAGCTCAACATCATCTGTCTTGGATCCCTCTGCATCAGTTTCACACAATATTCCTGAAGCACCAATAAATCTAAACAATATGCATAATATCGATAGACATGGCAAGAAAAAGGTTAATTGGTTGGTGAAGCATAGAGATTGGTTAGTGATATGGGAGAACCGACATCAACGCTTACCCCATCGAGAGTATATGTAACCCCCACAGACCGATAAGGGTAACCAGATCCGATCTGGGGTATCACATTTGGGCCACCGGAGCGACCCACTGTAAAAATAGTGGAAAATTTAAAACTTTTTATCAGAACATGTAAACTTATAAAATCATTTGTCGCTATTTAAAAATAAATTAGATTTTCAGACTCGTATATAAATCAAAATACAATTACATGCCCCCTAATCACATGTACCATACTCTGAAACAACGCCGGAAGAACTCCCTTACTGAAGTCGATAGATGCACTGGTACAATTCTTTTAACCTGAAAAGGTGAGTAGTAGAGTGAGCTTCGAAAAGCTCAGTAATACAGAACTACCAGATGATGCTGAAGAACGTGCAGATACAGATAAACATACATATCCTTATTATTTCTGAATATTTATAGATTTTTATGCTGAGCAGAGATCCTACTGATATTTCAGATGGTAACGGACAATGAGCTTTCAGTTCAGACAAATATTTCAGATGACTGAGTTCAGGAGATCAGAATATGTTATCTAGTGTGTTCCCAAAAACCATGTAACTTTTCAGATCTTTTTAAAACATATATATATATACCCCCATCCCATCACATCATAATGTGTAGGTTCCCCAGAACCATACACCCAACCCAACACATCATATAAGGCCCTGAGCACAAAGCCGAGGAACCTGCGAAACTTCTTCCTTCAACAATACCCCCCAATTAAAACATTTTTCGTCCGTAAACGGATATATCAAAAATCAAAACATAAATCAGGTCAAGTATCATATCAGAAATTAGATCAAGTAACATATCAGAATCCAAGTCAAGTATCAGATCAGAATTCATGTCAGATATCATATCAGAATCCATGTCAAGTATCATATCAGAATTCAAATCGAAAATCAGATAAAATATTCATGTGAGTAGGGAACATACCAGAGTTTACATGTATTATTTAGAGGTACTGTATCAGGCAGAGAAACACAGTTCTTCAGTATGTCGATAGAATGTTGGAATTTAGAATCACTATTGGAAGAGTTCATTAACTGACAGAATCATCAGTTATTCAGAATGTGAATTATTAGGATATTATCTTATTCGGACAGTTTTCAGAAGCTGTACGTAATCAGAAGGGTATTCAGAATCCTATACATCTATGTCAATTGATCGGATAATCGAACAACTTGAGAACAAAGATTCAAAACCTTAGCAATCTATGTCGACTGGTCAATTCATTTTCCTTCTAAGGTATTTACTCTTTAATACCACAAATTCTTGTCCGTAGACCATTTTCGGAATCATCGTTGAATAAATCTTCCAATGTCTTTATTTCATTTCCACGTTTCCACAATATTATGGAATGCTGACGTACTTGATTAATTTGTTCATAACCCATTGTAATTGTGCACTACGTAAACTCATCAGAGTTTCCAGACTTATCCAAATCACTTATTAAATCCTCAGTCATTGAGGTTACCTAGTTCATTTAGCAGTCATGTCAATTCCAGTTACTTCAGGATTTTCCAGAGTAATTCAAACGTTC